GCAGGCAGAACCGGCGGCCGTTCCTTTTGCACTCACTGCCGGCGGCGGTTCGTCTGTGCAACGGGATAGCTCTGATTGCTCAGGATAGAAGACACATATAGCACTTAGCTATGGGCATTGACTTGAGCCAAACGTTGCGTTGGCGGTCACATAGAAAGGTAAAGATGAGGGATGCGTAGCATGCCCCCTAGAGTCGAGGGACGCGTAGCGTGCCCCCTTCTCTTGCACTTTACACGGTCTTGCTCACAGCTCTTATAGTGACACCTTAGAACTTGACAAGGCATCGCAGTCCGTTCGCAGCTTAGAATTTAAGAAGAGGGGGTTCGCAGCCCTTGCCGTTTTTGCAAGCACAGTGCTCGTAGGATTGAGCCACTGGAAAAGCTTCTTGAAGGAGTGTCCGTCGGGCACGGGCATGCTTTCAAGCAATTCGCATGGCCAAAAGTTGAAAAGAGCTGGAAGTTGGTGAAGGGCGCAGCTCTCCCGTTCTCAATCAGAATGCTCATTGAAACGCTGCTTGACGGAATATCCATTGATGGCATGACCTTCTTTGAGGCAGGTTCGCATGCCTCAAAGGAGCGAACGGGGCGGGAACCCCCCTTCCCGTTTGCAAACACCACGCTCGTATGATTGGCTTTGTAAAAACATGTTGGAAACGCTTCATGAAAATAACGAATTTCTATACTGAACTTAGAACCCTAGCAAAATTATACTTTTAGCTGTTTCGTAGGGATTATAATAACCAAAAATTGCAAAATTAATTCTACGTAAGTACCCCTAAGGAATGCCCGTTGACGGCACGCCGTCCTTTCAAGCAAATTCGCATAGCTTAAAATTTCAATAGAACCAGGGGGGTTAACGGGGCCCGCAGCCCCGCCCCCCATTTGCAAAGAGAATGCTCGCAGAAGGGCTGCTTGAAGGAATGTCCACTGATAGCACGCCTGTCCTTGAAGCGAGTTCGCAGCACAATGCTCCTATGGTTGAGCTATTGGAAAGGCTTTTTGAAGGAATGTCCGTCAACGGCACGCCGTGTTTTCAAGCAAATTCACATGGCTTACAATCAAAAGAGCCGGGGGTTGCGGGGGCCCACCCCCCCCATTCTCAAACAGAATGCTCGTAGAAAGGTTGTTTGAAGGAATCTCCATTGTTGGCGCGCCATTCTTTGAAGCAGGTTCGCATGGCTCAAAATCGAACATGCACGGAAGGATTTATATATGTGTACACCATATTCTCTGTACAATTGTTGGCTTGTGAAGCAAGTTCGCATAGCTTAAGATTTGAAAAGAGCAAGGGGAGTTTGGGGGGGGGGGGTGGCAACCTGGCCCCCATTTGCAAACAGAGAATGCTCGTAGAGAGAGGCTGCTTCAAGGAATGTCCATGGATGGCACGCCATTCCTTGAGGCAGGTTCGCACGCCGTAAAGAGCGGGGGGGGCAACCAACCCTCCGTCCCATTTGCAAACAGCACGAAGCAAAGGAATGTCCATTGACAGCACGCCGACCTTTGAAGCAAATTCGCATGGATTTAAATTTCGAAAGAGCGGGCGGCTGGGGGGTTGCAGCCCCCCCACTTGTAAACAGAATGTTCGTAGAAAGGCTGCCTGAAGGAATGTCCATTGATGGCGCCATTCTTTGCAGCAAGTTCGCGTGATTTCAAAGTTAATACGCACAGGGGGTTTGGGGGGCAGCCTGCAATGCACTGACATACATAATTAACTAGGATAGTCGAATCAGGCAAGTACACGTATTTCCAGAGGAAACAGTAAGGGACTAACAAACACGAAGGAGCGTAAATGCAGAGTCAGATGATCCCCCAAGATCGGAAGCTGCTTGAAACCCGCTGCGAGAAGGGTCTTTTTTCCCTCCTACCTAGCAAGGACAAAGCCCGCAATGCAGGGTAACGTCGAAGCAACAGTCGAAAAGGCTATGTTCATTGACAGCCAATTAACAGGACTCATTGATCAGCGCTCGTGCCAATCAACGATCAAAGTATCAAGATGTACACTTCAAAGAGATGTACACGATCTAAGCATCTCTCAGAGAGGACCCAGATCACAGTTGTTATCGCATAAGACACCCTGGCATAGAGACCAGTCTACCACCTGCGTTTGATTCAGCAGTCAGAATTCCATAAAAGGACCATCAGACCTCTGGATCCATCCCGCAATCAGAATACCATGGATTTTCAGCAGTCAGAATTCCATAAAAGGACCATCAGACCTCTGGCTCCATCCAGCAGTCAGAATACCACGAATTACTAATTCCAAATTTCAAAAGGCGCATTCTTCAGCTCGATCGTCACAGTATCTGCAGGAAAAGTTGCAGCAACATCACAGTCGACATAGCCCCAGCAAAGACTGAAGCTGACAGCAATCTTGCTTCATACCCAGGGAATCGACACATCCCAAGAAGGAAAAGCTGTAGCCTAACAGCTCGTTGTGACTGCATGCAGCCTTCGGAAAGTTCGTTGACTGAGTTCTTCAGCCGACCAGTACTGACAGATAATGCCAGTCTTGGCGACAGACTCCCGGAAACAGAAGCGCAGCAGAGAGAGCAATAGGTATTGTATCCATCGCATCCATATGCCATGCAGCCATTTCAAGTTATTCAGTCAGCTGGGACAAGGATTGCCCAAACCTTGTCATGCTGCTTGAATCAGCGCAAAGACCGAGGTGTGGGACTTCAGTGAGCAACCATACGAATGAGTGGGACGCATAGCCAGTCACTCGCAGCGTAAAGGTCCATAGTCATGCAGGTGCCAAGCAGGAGGCAGTCAGCTGTGGACACAGTGCGAGCAGGAATCGTGAGCGGCCATGGCAGGATTTTTTTGCTGCTCACTTCGCCTAAACCCCAAAGTTTGGCAAGTAGAAGTGGTTAGTAAAGACCGAGGACCCCAACAAGGAAGCAACATTGGTCCATGGAACCGAATAGTTCATAGGCCCCTGAATAGCACGCAAAGCCGGGCATGTGACACGCAGGGACGACGTGTGAGGGTGGAAGTGCTGCATGTGCTCGCATTGGCGGTGGTCAGTGGGCGGACGGCATTTTTGTCTGTTTTTTTTGTGGTTTTCCGAGGTGAGGTGACGCACACGCTGACACGAGCACAAAGTGAGCTCTCTACTCTCTCTCTCTCTCTCTGGATTCACAACAGACCCAGCTTCATAGCAGTATGCAATGCTATACAGAAACAGGAAGAAGTAGCTCAGTTCCAAAGTTCCCAAGAGAATGAAGCCTCAGACCACAAATTCCGAATTAAAGGCACTCGCAAACCGAAAAGAAAGTGCTGCATCAATTTAAAGCACCAAAATTTCCCTAAATGCAAAAAATTCCGAAGATCCAAAAGCAACCCCACAGAAAGCGGGAAGCATCAAATTAAAATGCACTTGCAACATGATTGACAACTGTGGCTTGGGAGGCTGCAAGAAATAGGCTTAGGAGCTGTCACGTATAGTAGGTGTAAAAGACGCTGAACTGGCACTGGAAGCTGAGTGGGCAGGGGAAACACCTCGTTCGGGAATGGCCAAGTCAGGCTGCAGACAGTCTTCGTTGTTGTGTTGGCTAAGTTCAGTAGAACTTACAGAGAAAACTTCGTTGCAGCTGTGGGCTTGTATGGCAGGGCTCAGGGCTTTAGCTTGTTTAGCTTGTTGAAAGGCTTCTTGAATGCGAAGTTGCGTAGCGGAAGGGGCTTCCTGAGCAGGACCAGGGAAGCCAAAGTCAACATGTAGCAACTTCGTCAAGTGCGGGCAGCTATTCATGTTGGCCCATGCTACGAGTGTCAATCGCCTGCTGCCCGTCCACGGCTCAGTAGCATGAAGATGACTCTTACTCTCAAAGATGACCGGCTGTAAGTGACATTCAACAATGCGGCCTTGGACAGCGCAACCATGTACTGACATTACAACTTCACCAAGTGGATCTGCTAGCCAAAGGTTACCGCCTGTTTGACATGCCGTAAGAACTTGCAAGAAGGACTTCTGGGGCCCATTGTTGATGTCCCGGTGGGGTCCTTTATCCGAGTTGAGGCGAAAGCTGATATTAGTGAATGGAACATCAGGCATGAACTGCAACACATACTTTGCCAAAAGCCTGGTAGTATGGGGCAGCTCCGAGGTGACTATGGTCAGGGATTGAGGATTGCGGGGATTTGCGCCAGAAACCATGATGCGGGATGTGTTACAAGACCGATCCTTTGTTTTAAGGGATTCAGGGATAGCATCCCAAACTTCCACTAAGGAGTCCAGGGAGACATCCTCACGACGAGCCATTCTGCACAGCTGAACATAAGCCAAGGTTTCACACAGTGCATTCTTGCTTTGAACGTGAAGTCGAGACGCAAGCCTATCAACGTCAATTGGTGAAAGTCCGAAGTCGGCTGGCATCAGTGCAAACGAAGACGGTGCAGCAGGTGACTCAGTGACCTCGTGCGCCTTTGCATTGTCATGCGAGGCACTAACACTCCCGGAAAATGTACGCTTCATCGTGGCAGCTACACAAGCCCTGGGAACCTCAGAAAACTACGGCAGAGAAAACCAGGGTCCTGGAGCGCTCAACTCGAAACGAAGTGCACAAGCTCTGAGGCATTCGGAGACTGCGGTTTTGCTGATGCGATGCATCGGTCGAAGTGGCGTTGTATCGAGTGTGGAGCTATTGTACAGAGACGAACTCATTCGGCGTGTCAATTAAGAGTTCAACTAATTAGAGAATCAATTTTACAAGCAGTGATTAAATGCAGTGATTGCATATTTGTTGCAGCTTGCACATCAATTCAAAATTTACGTGCGAGTATGCAAAAATTAGAGTGGACATGCAGCAATTAGCAGTATAATTAGGGTCAGACGGGACCATACAGATCCAAACCAAGACCCAAAGCGACACTGCATATGAAATGCTCCAGTACGCGAGATCATGTATGTTTGCAAGAGCTCAAGTATGAACACAGATGAGCATAGGTGCAGAGCTAAGTTGGTTGAAGAGCTCCACTACAACGATCTCACACACATACTGTCTAGGATAGATTACTGCGTCCCAGCAAGGCACTCAGCAGCTCATGTGTGCTGAAGCGGCCTAGTGGGTCCTGAACCATGTAGATCGGATTCTGGCTCTGCCCTCCCCTCACGAGTGGTTGAAGATGATCAGCAATCCGAATCGGATGTCCAGCATCTAGCGGACCGCCATGTGCGCATGGATGTGGCATAGGCATAGGCTGAGGTGGCTGTGCCGGCTGCTGTGCCATCGGAGGGGGCGAGGTAGTGGTTGGCGGCGGAGCTTCAGTCTGTGGAGGCGAACGTTTTGGAAGCTTGGGGGTGCGCTCCAATATCTGTGCAACTTGTTCATGGATCAAATTGTGGAACTCATTCGTCTGTTGGCAGAGCTCTGCGACCTCGGTCAAGGTTTGCTGGATGCCTCCCACTAGAGCCTCCAGTCTGACTCCATGGTCCTCAGCATTCGCCGCTGATTCTTGAGTAGCATGGCCTTGCGATGCCATAGCATGATCATGCTGATTCGCCTTCACGCAATAGTCGACGACATTGTCCAAGGTGTCCTTGAGCGTCTTGCTCAAAGGGATGAGGGGGTTGAAGCCCCTCAAAGTGCTCTGAAAACATCCCGTGAGAGACGCCAAATCTTTCTGGATGGAATCTGCCTTTTGCTCCAGCTTTGTGTTGGACACGTGTATGTCCAAACTGACCTGCTTGAGGTCACTTTTGATCTCCTTGATCATGTCACTCTGAGCGCGCTCTTCACTCTGAATGTGGTGCAGGCTATCTCTGCCCTGTTTCAGAAGGCCATCCAACAGAGTTTCATGCAAGGCAAAGCTTTTCTGGGTATCAATGCCCATCGACTGCACCAGTTTGTTGAGCGCAGGCAATGTGCTGGCAAATCCATAGACCTCGCGTAACTTGGGTGGCACCTCTTTCTTCCACTCCTCCATCATCTGGGCGGTTGCCTTGGAATGTGCCACTGCTTCTCCAACTGCTTCTGACAGCTTGGGAAAAACTTCCTCCATCTGAAGCTCAAGGATAAAGTGTTTGATCTCACCGAACTCTTTTTGAATTTGAAGCAGCTTGGCATCAACACATTGAAGAGCAGCGAACTCCTTCTGGACTTGAAGCAGCTTGGCATCAAGACAGTCAAAGGCAGTCTGCGTAGTTTGCTCGAAACGTGAAAAGGTCCCTGAATCCACGGAAGGCGAAGAAACAGTCGGGCCTGGGAGGCTCATCATGTCAATTTTTCCTTCCAGGGTCTGAAGAGACTGCAACACACGACCGATCTGAGTCGAAGCACGTGTGCCTGTGACGGCATACGTCATCCAAGTCATCCACACCAAGAGGATAGCTGCAAAGAACACCAGCTGTGGCTGATTTTGCAGCAGCATGCTTCCTATGGTGATGGCTTCGCTCAGTGCTTCAGTTCGAAGAGGCGTGGAATTCATGGCTGCTGCAAGTGGCGTTGTTAGCCAGCCTATCACGTGCTTACTTGGCCCAGCAAGCTGCAAGACCAATTTAAATGGCCGTCCCGCCCCCCCCCTGCACATACGGAGATATCCCACAAAGCTGCGATAAACTCAGCTTGTGGAACAAAATGAAAGACATGTCACTATGTGTGCACATGCAGGTGGGTTGCAAAGGCCGAAGAAAAGCTATTAAAGGACTCATTTATCCAAGCCACGTGTGAAAGGTAGGCATGTGTTGATGAGGAGCAACAAGAAAGGTTTTTCGAAAATCTACAGTGCGATACAAAACGCGGGTATGACGGAAAGAAAGAGCTTCCTTGGCTGCTTTGTCGGTCAGAGTATTCAGCGGATGTCCTGAGTGTCCTTTGACATGCTGTTTGTGAACTCTATGACAAATTTGCTGCCAAACGTGCAATAATTCATGTATGTCGTGGGGATGGCAGGAAAAAAGCACTTGGTCTTCCAAAATCTGGAGAACAAATGCAGAGTCGGTCATGAAAATAACAGGCATGTCGAAAAGAAAAGGGAGAGCGAAGCGAATCATTTTGAGGGCCTGAACTGCAGCCCGAATTTCGGCTTTAGTATTTGTGCAAGGGCCGAAAACTGAAGCTTGGGCAATAACAGCAGCTTCAATGGGAGCATAAGGCGATAAGAAGGAAACCGCAAAAGCACCTTTGTTATTTTTGCTACTTCCATCTGAACAGACCTGAATAGCAGCTTCAGAATCATGAAGGGTAGCAGCGGGGACATAGCGGAAAGACGTGTCATAAGCAGGCTCGATAGGGACATGGCGGAAGGGAAGGAGTACGAATTTCTCGCCAATCTGAAGAAGACTTCTCCCCTGTAAGTCAACATTTTCGAGTTTGGGATAATATTGGAGTGGCTGCAGGTTTTTAGAGTCAAGCCAAACGTTAATGAACTTTTTCCACAGGGCCTTGTCAAGAGCAGCATCCTCCCAATACGGTGGGGTTCCCAATCCTCTAAGTTCTTCCCATGCAAGTTGAATTAAACGATATGAATTAGGCCAAAATCCCAAAGCACGTCTGTCTGATTTCCAGTGCCTATGTAGCCAAAATGTGTCCCGAATTTTTAAAGCCAAACTGATAGGAGCGAAACGGTGAGATCGAATACGCCCGGCATGTCCCCAGTATGACATAAAGCTGAGAGCTTGAATGCCTGCCCAAGACTGATGAGAAAGTTGTTGTGCACACATTTTGCTAGCGCGGCGCCGGCACACCCAATTAGAGGCTCCAGTGACAAAAGGGTCAGGAGCAAGAGAACAGAGGGAAGTGAGGAGGGTGTTGTGCATAACTGAAAGCATATTGTGGACGGCTGTAACAGGACGAATGCAGGGGCTGATCCACCTCCACTTAGACGTGACGTAAGTATTGAGAAGATGAAGGCGCTTACGGATAGAGGCGCCGGGTCGGCGTAAAATTCGGTAAAAGCCCCAAAAGGCGTTGTTCGTTAAAGTTAGGCGAGCAGCAAGGATGGTTTGAGCGTTAAGGTCAAACCCCATGAGTACTCCCAAAAACTTGAAGGAGCGGACTGGGGGGATGTCAATATGACGAACTGTTAAGGGGCGCGAGGGCAAATCCGGAGAAACTATGAATTTGCACTTGTCTATGGCGAGGGTTAACCCAATAGCTGCAAGCATGTCAATGACACTTTCAAGGAGACGTTGTGCTTGTTCGTAGGATGTAGCTAAAAGGATAATGTCGTCAGCATAGAGTAAGTTGAAGAGCTTACGGCAAATGCCGGATTCGTCTTTGGAGGAAATCCAAGTGTTCTCGGAAATGCTCCAACGCGTGTGCAAAAAACCAAGGAAATAGTCAAGAGTGCGTCCAAAAATTTCAGCACTGTAACTAGATCCCTGAAGCAACCCCCGAAAGAGCTTTTGCTGCCAGGAAACACCTCCCATTCCCAGAACAACTCGAGACAAAACAATAATTTTGAGGAGAGTAAGAGCCTCAAGGTGTGCACCACCTAAGGCAAGAAAACTGGCAATGGAGTCATGCGAGAGGTGATCAAATGCTGAAGAGACATCTAATTTGATGGCAATAAGTGGAAGCCGATATTCCTGAGAGAGGTGAATTAGATGCTGTAAACAAACCGAGCCATCAAGGGTTTGCGACCCTGGGATACATGCAATTTGGTTACCTGAAACAGGTGGAAAAGACGGCCGCAGGCGTAAAAGGAGAATTTTTGTGAAGATTTTGGCGGGGGTGGAGGAAAGAACGATAGGGCGTAGATCTTTGGGCTGACTGGGGGTTTTAGTTTTAGGAAGAAAAGTCAGCCTGGATACAAGCCAGGTTTGAGGAATTTCAGAAACCTGAAAAAGAACAGAATTAAACAAATCAACAAGGTGCGGTGCAAGTTGGGAGTGCATAATAACGCTTAGGAGCTCGTAGGAAATGCCGTCTTCTCCGCATGATTTTCCGTTTTTAGTGGAAGCCAGCGCATCTATGATCTCAGAAGCAGTGATTAGAGGCGGTTTAGCGAAAGGGCCAACACGGTGAAGAAAAATAGACATAGCAGGTTCAGAAATTGCCAGGGTGTCAACAGGGGTGTATTTTAAACGATAAAAGGATTTTAATTCATTTGTGGCCTTTGTGACTCCACCTGCGCGTGCAATATAATTATTATGCATGGTGAGGACATTCTGTCGTCTCTTAAAGTATGCAATGGCCCCGTAGTCTCCCTGAGATCCGCGATCCATCAATTGCGTAAGCCACTCAGACTTAGCTTTAGCTCTAAGACGCAAGATATCCTTACCGAGATTTCTAGCCTCCTGACCGGTTGAAGCCCGTCTTTGTTTGATGAGGTCAAGAACGTGTGGTGGATCCTTATACCTAAAACTTTTAGGTCTGAACGAAACCTCACGAGCGAGCCTTTCAATGTCCGAAGTCTGAAAATCCCGGCTTTGGAGCTCAATGCGTTCAGCGAGCTCTTCGCAAGCAGGAAGGGCTTTGGCTCCATTGATTCTCCATTGACCGCATCTATGTCGAGATCTAGTGCTTCGGGAGGCTTTGTGGGACATGGGCATGACGACCTTAAAGGCGGCAGAGACAGCTCGATGATCGCAGCCAAGCAGAAAATCAGACTGCTCAAAGACCGTATCTTCGCAGATATCAATAGTGGGAGTAGAAACCAAAATGAAATCAATCTTGGAAGTAGACCCACGACTGTTACTCCAGGTATAAGCTTTGGGGGCAGTCGGTATTAAAGAATGCTGCTGCATGATGGCCGCTGCTATGAAGCCTCGCTCATCAGATGAATTGGGTTGCGCCATACCCTCAACTGCACCTAATTCATAGTTAGTATCATGCAAAACAACTACAGTGTCATGCAAGCGTCGGTGTTGCAAAACTGCTTCAAGTTCCACCTGAAAAGATTGCCAGGTTTCGATACAGTCGTGTCGTTGCCTATGTGGCAGGTGGGCACTTATGATAAAAGTTCGGGTGCCATGTTGTTTGAGGGTGACACAAATGCCGCAGCTAAGAGTGGTAACCTTCTCAACTGCACTGAACAGCCTCTCGGGAATCCCTACTGCAACAGCTCTGAAGGCTAAAGGTGGTCTGGACGTGTAAAAATTCCAAAGGCCATCAAGTTTGGCTTCAAGGTTCTGCCAGGGCGGGACTAGATCATTTTGACCTCCCAGTTCCTGAATTCCAATGCAATCCATACCCGAAAGCCCTAACTCAGACCATGCTGTTTCAAGGTCTTTGAGAGATTTACCCTGTATGTTCCACGATGCACAATGAAATACAGAGGCGCATGGTCGGGCTTGTGGTTGTCGTCACTCGCGCTCTGAGGGCCTGTACTCATCCCAAACGGACTGAAGGTCCTCCTCAGCTCTCCCTGTCAAAGCGGCAAAAACCTTCGAGAAAAGGTACCACTCAAGGTGGTTGCCTTTGGCATCAGTCAGCAGCAAATCGTATGCACCCGGTTCTCCATCTCTGTGTACATTCCCTAGCAATTGATGCTTGCCGATGAAGACTTTGCCATTCCAAGAGATACCAATGAGGTACTCATGAAAAGGCTTGAGCTGGGTAGGGTCTTTGTTGGGCAATCGAAGGTAGAATTCTTTACACAGCACTATGGCTCTGGTCATTCTGCGCTCCTCAGGACTCTTTGACCTCGTGATCCAAAGCTTGATGTTCTCTGATCCAGGAATGCCACTAACATATTTTTTGGCTTTGGGCTTCTCAAGCATGGTGGTTTGCTTCTTGCGCTTCATGGCGATAGTCAGGTCTTTGTCGAACTTGATACGAATCTTGACAAACCCAGTGCGACTGTAGGGAGCCCAGATTTCTTCAACTAGGTCCAACAGCTGTGCATCCTGAAAAATGTTTCGTGTTTCTTCGATCGCGTCATCTCTGCGAGCATCAGCCCAGCCTCCCGCTACAAGGTCCATATCAGGTTCATCATCAAATCCCTGGTCATTTCCAAAGTTGGAGTGTCGGGGCGATCGCGGGGATCTGGGGGATCTGGGTGCAGGGCCGAAATTTCTAGGGGACCGAGGAGCGGCGTCTCTGAGGGACTCAAGTTCTTTGATTTTGTTCTCAAGCACACTTAGTCGATTGCGAGTTTGTTGGTGCTGATCAGTATGCTCCGCCGCAACTGACTCAACCTGCGAAATTCGGATATGTTGAGTCTGAAGGCCAGATTGAATTTCAGCATACTGCTTGTCTGCTTTGGTGTGTAGGCTCAGCAACCCCTGGTGAATATCAGCAAGCCATGGTGGCATGTCTGTTGGGGCTTGTTGATATGGCGCAGGGGCATGAGGCGGCGGGCTTCCTGGGATGCGAGACTCACGTGCCTGAATGTGTGCATTGAATTGAGCTGGGTTGGAGGCATCTAATTCAGAATTAAGGAGCCTTGCAATCCCTGCACCTACGTCAGGCTTGGGCTTGGCAGCTCTGGCAGCAGTAAGTTCATCTTCAAAGTCGCCTTCTCCAGGACAATGCTTATCCTGT